TTGTGAACCAAGGATAAGAGAGTTACAATCCGAATCAAGGAGTCAATCTATTTTACTTGCTGTATTACTAAAAAGCCTGAACAAACTCTTGCCCCCCACTTCATGTTTAAGCCTTTGACAAAGACAAATGGTCCTTGGGAGATGACCTAGGAAAACTTCCTAGTGCTGCATTTAATTGTTTTATTTGACCGGATACAACTTTGATCAAGGAAGAAACTTAAGGAACCAAAGAACAAAGGAGGAAATCCTTTGTTGAGAAACTTAGGGAGAAGTTTCTTCTCCATGAAATTTGTGACTCTTGAATGAGAGAATTTTAGTGAAAAATTATAATTTCATATACTCAAAAGTGAGGGAAAATGGAAGGTTTACAAATTTATAGAAGTAGGTAGCTTATGGAGTAAGCTAACCTTAACCATGGTTCAAGAGAACCATGGTTTGGTTTTGACCAACCTCCCTAGTTAGGATGGCTTGTGGAGCAAGCTTCTAATTATTTCAAAATTTGTTGATTTGGTTTAGTTAGGTTCATCCAGTGATGGTGAGACCTAGCTAAATCAAATCCTTGAAAAATTAGGAGCGAAACAAGCCCAATATATAAAATTTAGCCTAGGCCCAATTCTGACCCAATTACTAGTCACACCCTCAAGCATTGCTAATTGTCACCCCACTTCTACTACTGAAAAATAAAATAGAAAAAGAGTGATCTTCAATACAAGGTTAAATAGAGTCAAAGTCTCTAAGTAACCTACCCTAGAAACAAAATATACAATGGTCTATAAAATGAAATAAAGTGTCTCACAAATACAAAGACAAAAATAAGCCTATACAAGAAACTACTATATTTAAAAATATATGAAAAGGTCTTCAAAATCATCACATTCCTCTTGGTTCCTTTATTGTATCACCTCTTGGATTCCTTGGCCTTGGCATATTTTCATCTTCCCCTCCCTATATTCCAAGAATTGGGTGCTTTATTAAAATCACTAAGGTAGGAAGAGTCCTACACAAAGGAGGGCTATTTACCTCGGGCACCACCAAGAAAGTAGCACAAGAAGTAGAACTAAGTGAAGTCTACCTCTTCTTCACTAAATCATGAAGTTGAGACTTTTTTTCTTTAAAAATAATGAATTTATGAATCTCCTCTTCAAGACTAGTGGCAGAATGAGAGCAAGAGTTAAGATCTTTATGAATAAAGAGAATTTTTTTCATAGGATTTTTAGTACTAAAACAATTTTCTTTAGTCACAAATCCCTTAGAGGATATTTCTTCCTCTTTACTCTTCCCTACATAAAGTTCTTTCTTTTTTTCTATTTCTTCTTTTCTTTTGATTTTCATTTGTCTTCTTCTTTTGTGTTTTCCATGTCTTCTTTCAATTTTTCTTCTTCTTGTTTAAGAATTCTCAACTTCTCTTCTAGGATAGCAAGTTTGGCCTCGCTTTCAATTTTCTCCTTCTCTTTTTGAAAGGCATCTTTCTTTCTCCATAGTTTAAGAGATTTAAGCTCTTTAGTTAAGTGGGAAATGCTTTTTGTAGAGCTATCACTTCCACTATAGTCACGGAGTTTTGAGACATTTTTAAACAAGAGATATTTTCACACAAAAATAATTTTTTTATAAATATTTTGTAGTGCTAGACTTGGCACTTAGAGGTCTAAGAGTACAAATTGAACTATGGAGGGAGGAGAGCTACCAAAAGCCACTTAAAAACCAAGCCTCTTCAAGTAAAAATATATAAACCCCCTTGTACTTTGCCTTGCACAAAATGTTTTCACAAAGTTCTTTTCAAAAAAAAGGAAAATAACAAGCAAGTTCCTAATGTGTACAATTAGTCAAGACTTGAAATCATAAATTGCTTGTAAACATAAATGGCATGAAAACATAAATTGCTTGAAAACTTAAAGACAAGAAAACATAAACTAGGCGTTTTAAAACTAGTAAACCTATGTGAGAGCTTGGAAAGTACCAAGGACTTCCAAGGACCACTCTTACAAGAACTAAATGCAGCTACCTAGATGAAAACTCTAAGGAGAGATGGAAATGCACTAAAGGCACTCCAAGACACTCCTAAAGGCCTTGTACAAATAAAAGGAAAATTCACATGTAATGAAATGCAAATTTACAACAAATGAAATGTAAATTTTCAACAAATGAAATGTAGTGGCTGTACAAAATTAGAAAACAAAAATCAACCACTAAATTAGAAATAAGATTAGAGACGGATTTGGTGTGGAAAATTTGTGACAACAAAAATTTTGTCTCTAATTTGGTCTTTAGTTCCCCTTCACAAATTTTTTTTTTCTAAAAATTTTCTTTAATCCTTCAATTCCAATTTTAGCCACCACTCCTTGAAGCCACCTCACAAGTGTGTCACTCGTCTCTTAGAATCAATCTTGATGTTGATTGCTCCTAGGTGTTTAGTCTCCTATCAAGAGCTTTCCTCCAAAGAGAAGAACAACCTCCTAAGTCTCCACAAACATTCCAAGAGGCTACCCTTGTTCTTTTGCTTTCCACACCTTCAAAGAAGCACTCAACACATCTTATAGTTGTTGGAGTAATTTAGAAAAGTGAAAAAGAACAATTAAAGGAAGCTACACCAATTGGTAGATTAGAAGACACAAACTAGAAAGAGTTCCAATGGAAGACAAGCAATAATTAAGGCACATAATGAAGCAAGCACTCAAATCGAAACTCCTATCAGTGGTTCTAGATTGGATTACAAAAATAAAATCTAAGATTAAAAACAAAATAAGACACTAATCTCAAATGTTTATGGCTAGAAAGTTTTAGAAATAAGTGTAACGTAGTTAGTAGCCCAGAACGGGCCGTTCCAAACTACTAAAACAAGGGTAATTTAGTAGCCCAGAACGGGACGTTCCCAAACTAGAACGGGCCATTCCAAACTACTAAATTGGCTTAAAAATCCTAGTTGAGAACGGGTCGTTCCAAATTGGCTGTTATGGAAAAAAAATGCAGCCCCAGAATGGGCCATTCTATTTTGAGAACGGGCCAATCTAGTTTGAGAACGGGCCATTCTAGTTCGAAAAGGGCCATTCTGGGCACTCCTGAATTTCTATAAATAGGACCTATGTGCAGTTGAGGAGGCGAGGTTTTAGAGAGGTTCTAGAGAGAAGGACTCTCAGTCTGTGAGCTCCTTTCTGTCTCAACTTTCTAGGTATAATTCTTCTTCTCTTCTAAGTCACTAATTCTTCTGTTTTCCCTTGAATTTTAGACTAGAAAGCTTACTTTTGGAGGATTAAAGTTCAAGAGTCGAGCTTAGATATTTCTTCTTCTTCTCCTTCTTCTCAATTCTTTGATTTTCAGTGCTAACTTTCAGGTGAGGGAAGCTAGAATGTAGGTTGTTTAATTTCAGGAGAATTGGAAACTCCATTGACGTATGATTTTAAGAAGTGGTTGAATTAAAGAAATTCCTCATTTTTAGGGTTTTGGAAAAAATGAGGTTTTTGATGATTTTAATGAGTTAATTTGTTGTTTGTTGAATCTGCGTTCATTTTTGAACTGTATGAAGCTTATATGTTGCGTAATTGATGGAATTAAGTTGTTCACATGTTGTTAAAATCATTAAAGTTGTATAGTGGTCTAGTTGAATAGAAAGTTGTCAAGCTGGTATATAACATGTTTATTGTTGTATTGATATAAGTTGCCTAGTGTTGTATTGCTGTAAGTTGCCTATTGCTGTAAGATGTCTATTGTTGTGTTGCTGTAAGTTGCCTATCATTGTAAGATGTCTATTGTTGTATTGTTATAAGTTGCCTATTGTTATAAGATACCTATTTTCGCATTATTATAAAGTTGAAAAGTTGGGGACATATGGTGAAGATATATGTCCTATGTTGACATACATAGCACTAAGGTGATAAGTTGAAAGTTGTTTTAAAGTTGAATCCCTTTGTACTGTGTGCGCGATGTGGAAGTAGTCAATCCATGCCATGGTTGAATGACCAATTTGAGGAAGGTATCTAGTTAAAGATGTAGTCTTTGACTAGGTACTGGAGGGCGCATGGTACTTGGAGGACAGTGGGTGGGCTAACTTTATATGTGAATTGGTGATGCTAGCCAAGGCCATGGTAGGCTCATACCCAAACCCTTCTGCCCTGACAGTAGTACTGGACCTCCGAGTCTAAGTGGCACACTTGAGAAATTGCCTATTGTTGTCTATACCTAGTTCTCTTCAGAGTTGCTAACGATGTTTTATGCTTGACCTGGTTAAGATAAGTCAAATGTTGGATCTTGTAGGGTTTATGCCACCTAGACTACTCAACCCTAAACCCTAAACCCTAAACCTCAGTTGTTGGAGATCTCATAGTTGTATATGTGTGACGACACATTAAATTTTAAGTTGTATGTTGTTGTTGTTATATTAAAGTTGCTTATAAGTTGTATGAATGAGTTGAGTTTTTATATTAAAGTTGCTTATACTTGTATGATTGTTTATTGAACTCTAGCTTACCCTTCTATTTCTATGTGGATAGACTGCCATGATCATACTGTGTATGCGAGTAGATTAGGGCTAGGTTGGAGTTTTTGGCTGCATTTGTTGCTAGAAGCAGAATTTTGTTTTGGTCTCCAGAGTCAGAGTTACCATTTTGGATAATAGTTGTTATGTTTGACCGACACTAGGAGATGTTAGATTTGGATAATTGTATAAGTACTCTATATTTAAAATAATAAATGATTCTCATATTTTTTTCTTTTTCATATTTTTATATTTACGAGTTATCCAATTTTATTATTCATCTTAGTTTACTATGAATAGTGCGATTCCATTAAGTGTAGGGACCACGGCAGATTGTTAAACTTTTATGGTATCATAGCTTGTCGAGTCCTTAGGATACTCTGTGGGGAGTTATTCTTCTAGGTTTCTGTTGTGTCGTATATGTGATACGTGTTGGTCTTTGGTGATTTTTGGTGGTATTATGTTACTAAAATGATGTTTGAATTGTTGTAGTAGTATTGTGAGGCCATAGTATGATCAGATAGCCAGGGCCATGGAGATGATGGCCATGGCGATGCAGCAGCAGACTGCACATTTTACTAGGGTGGATGCTGTGAGAACTACATCTGGTGTAGCAGGATCTACTGGATCTCATTCGAACAGGGATCTGGATGAGTTTAGAAAGTGTAGTCCTCCTCAATTCAAAGGTGATGTAGATTCAAAGGTGGCTGACCACTTGATTTGCGAGTTGGAAAATATATTCTCAGTGCTAGGTTGTTTAAAGGAGCAGAAGCTCGTCTATGCAGTGTATATGTTGATAGGGGAGGCAGAGTATTGGTGGAGAGGTACTAGTCAGATGCTAATTGATTGTGGAGTTGTTGTGGACTGGGTATGCTTCAAGAAGGCCTTCCTTGAGAAGTACTTTCTAGAGAGTGTCAGGCATGCTCGGGAGATAGAGTTTATGAGATTACAGCAGGATGGAATGTCAGTGATTGAGTACGCCATGAGATTCGAGAACTTGGCACGCTTCTACACCTAGGCCACCTCTGAGGCTTGGAAGTGTAGGAAGTTTGTTGAAGGCTTGAAGTATGATTTGAGGAGAGTGGTGGTGCCTATGGCCATCACAGAGTTTCCAGCCTTGGTAGAAAAGGCGAAGGTTGTAGAGCGGCTAGAGATCGTCGGCAACCCGACGAAGACTATTGGTGGGCCAGTTGGGTCCAAGAGTGGTGGTGGTTATCAAAGGAAGCCTTATGACAGGCCCCAACAACAAGGGGGTTCTGCCACAAGGAAATCTGATGAGAGAGCTTGGAGTGGAGCTTAGGCTGTTAGATGTTATCGGTGTGGTGGGCCATATATTAGTAGAGACTACACTTCTACACAGTCTAGGTGTTTTAGGTGCAGCAAGTTTGGCCATCTGGACAAGGATTTCCTAGATGGGGCAGGTCAGTCTAGAGGTGCTTAGAGGGTGGAGCGACCTAGGGCAGCAAGGCGAGTATTTACTTTGATAGGAGTAGAGGCTTCCACCTCACTAGACTTGGTGAAGGGGAAGGCCAAAGCTGCAGGTATAGAGGTTTCTATCCTTTTTGATTCTGGTGCCACACATTCTTTTATATTTTTTGATTGCGTGAAGAGATTGGGTTTGTTGGTATCTACATTACATGTTGATTTGTGTGTGTCTACTCCGACTTCAATTTCTGTTGTGACGTCGGAGATGTGTGTGAGATGCTCGATAGAAATGTTTGGTAGGAGGTTCTGAGTGAACCTGATTGTGGTGCCTTTGGTGGATATCGACATAATCTTAGGGATGGATTGGTTATCTACCCATCACATACTTATAGATTGTGCTCGAAGAGAGTTGTTATTTCCTCAATTGGAGGATGATGTGTTATTATAGCGGGTCAGGCTGAGCAGTTGATGGGAGATAGAGCTGAATGCTTCATGTTGTTTTCTGCCTTAAGTGTTGAGACGGAGAGGGCCATCACTGGGATTGAGATTGTCAATGAGTTTCTTGAGGTGTTCCTAGATGATGTACTGGGATTGCCACCTATGCGAGATGTTGAGCTTAGCATTGATCTGGTGCCAAGTGCAGGGCCAGTATCAGTAGCTCCTTATAGGATGGCTCCAGCTGAGTTGGTAGAGCTAAAGAAGCAAATTGAGGAATTGTTGGAAAAATAGATGGTGAGGCCTAGTGTTTCTCCTTGGGGTGCCCCGTTATTGTTAGTCAAGAAGAAAGATGGTGGGACCCGTCTGTGCGTTGATTATCGATAACTGAATAAGTTGACGATAAAGAATAAGTATCCACTTCCGAGGATTGATGATTTGACGGATCAGTTGTGGGGAGCTTTAGTGTTTTTGAAGAATAATTTTAGATCCAGATGTCATCAAATCAGGGTGAAGGAGAGTGACATACCGAAGACTTCTTTTAGGACTAGGTATGGTCACTATGAGTATGTAGTGATGCCTTTTGGTGTCACTAATGCTCCAACGGTGTTCATGGATTACATGAACAGGATTTTCAGGCCGTTCTTGGACAGATTTGTGGTGGTCTTCATTGATGATATATTGGTGTATTCTAGATCTTTGGAAGATCATCGTGAGCATTTGAGGCTGGTTTTGGAGGTGTTGAGGGAGAGGTAGTTGTATGCCAAGCTGTCTAAGTGTGAGTTTTGGTTGTCCGAGGTGAGGTTTTTGGGGCATGTGATATTGATAGAGGGGATTGTAGTGGACCCAACCAAGGTGGAGGCTATGATTTAGTGGGAGCTTCCGAGGATTGCTACAGAGATTATGATGGAAGACTTGTTGTGAAACCCGGATTGATGTGAGTTCCCTTCAAGCTCCTCCCTAGACCTTGAACTCCTTGATTCTTCCTATGCTTGGTTAAGGCTTCCTATGGAGGAGGAAGTCTTAAGACCACCACGGTTGGTGGAGCAACACTCCCAAGAGACGCCACTCCTTGGAGAAGAGATAAGCCCCTTCAATTCTCACCACACTCTTCTATGAAGGGATAAGAGAATTCGATGACATAAAAGAGGTTTAGGGACTTTTGGAAGAGACAAATCTGAACTATATTCAGAAAATATAATATCAATTATGTCAAAAGTGTTTTACAATGAAGGAAAAACGAAAATATAGGAGTAGGAAGCTTGGAGAGTAAGCTAGTCTTAACCATGGTTCACTAGGAACCATGGTAAGGTCTAGCTAACCACTCATGGTTAAGAGGCTTGGAGAGCAAGCTTCTCACTTACATTGCTTGGAAAGCTTGCTAAGGAGAAGCTTGTTCTTCAAGCTTCCAAGCTTGAGAAGCTTTAAGCAATTCGGCCAAAAAGGGGGTTCAAGTGTGAACACACTTCTAAGGTGGGCGGCTCTTTGGGAATTAAATTACTCCATCCGGTTTGAAAATGGTTATTTTGGTTTAGTTAGGTTCATTCAACGTGAATGGAACCTAGCTAAATCAAATCTATGAAAAATTAGGAGTAAAATGAGTCCAATATGTAAATTTTAGCCTAGGACCACCTTTGGCTAAATTGCTAGGAGCACTCTCTAGCTTACTATGGACACTCTCAAATTTGCTAATGCCACTCCTACTAGAAAAACTAAGAAAAGAATGCATGTCTAGGTTAGGTTAAATGGAGTCAAAGTGCCCAAGTAACCTACCCTAGAAACATTATACAATAGCTACTAAAAAGGAAATAAAGTGCCTCACAAATACAAAGGCAAAAATACACCTATAAAAGTATCTACAAGTATGTACAATGGAAATTCCTTAGCTCAACGTTCACCCTTCTTGGTCTTACCTCTTCCAAAGGGATCCTT